CACTACTTATAAACCAATAGTTTTTTAAAAATATACTTTCAAGAATATTGTTCTAAAGATTAATATCCTTTGCCTTCTATCCAAAACCATCAAATTGTGTGCTCTTTTTCATCTATTAAATTGTCTATTTGTCTGGAATCAGGCACAAGTTAACCTACTTCCCTCAATTTGTTATTTCTTTACTGCTATAAAAAGTTCTTGTTATTATCTTTCATCGTTTAGTAACCTTAAATTATATAACCTCAATCATTGTTCTAAAATCATTGTTAAATTATATAACCTCAATCATTATTTAGATATGTACGGCAATAAATCACAAACCAGTGCATAAAAATCATGGAATAATTTACCTCTTCTTTTTAAATCACTAAACTTTATGACTAAACCAGTCTAAACCAAAAACCAGTAAAAGCGGTCTTTATGCCTATTTTTTGGAGAGATACTGTTTGTAAAATGTTGGGCTTATTGTGGGTTATTATTATTATTACTTTTGGTGTTACTTTATGTAATAAAAATATTATTAAAAAATTGTTTTACTATTATTCATATATTATTACTTATTGTTAATGTTTAGTATTCAGTTTTAATACTTATCAAAATTATTATTACTATTATTATTGTTATTATTATAATATGGATTATATTTATTAATATAAATAGTATTGTTAACATTGCTGATATTGTTATTGACTTCGTTATAATTGTTTTAATATTATTACACAATTTATTTTTACTTTAGATTAGTACTAGTACTTTTTCTAAATATCCATATAATGTAATAACCTTTTTTCATGATATATATTGTTATTATATATATATATATATATATATATATATATATATATATATATATATATATATATATATATATATATATATATATATATATATATATATATATATATATATATATTTATATATATATATATATATATATACATATATATATATATATACATATATATATATACATACATATATATATATATATATATATATATATATATATATATATATATATATATATATATATATATATATATATATATATATATATATATATATATATATATATAGTCATCAAACAATTTTATACAAAATTTGCCTTGGCTATTCCGTTCATAAATTAAAAAAAAAAAAAAAAAAAAAAATATACATATATATATATATATATATATATATATATATATATATATATATATATATATATATAGTCCATCAATTTTATACAAAATTCCGTTCATAAATTAGACAAAATTGTCTAACTTACTTAACGAAGTGCACCAACGAGAAGGTAAGCCATAGGACTTTGCACTCCATCAGTGAGCTGTCATGTTGTCTAAGGTTAACCCTCTATTTCTGGATTTTTTCCTTTATTTGATAGGCAGTTCATGAAAAAAATAATAGTAACTTAGCCTAAGGTTAGACCTCCATTTCTGAATTATTAACTTTATGTGATAGCCCCGGTGGGAAATGAGCTAGCGACTAGCTTTATAGCGATTTTCAAGCGATTTTTTTTTCTTATTTTATTCTTTACTAATGTCTCTAACATATTTAAAAATTCGATTTTTAGTGTTGAGTCTATTATAATTACGAGAATAATTGAACTTTAAACATTGCGATTTTGTAGCAATGTGTCGCTAGCTACATATCGTAGCTTTGTAGCTAGCTACAAAATATCTACAAATCTGGTTGATAGCTACATACCAAAATTTTTTTGATAGCAATTTTATTACGATATGACGGTAGCTATAATAGTCTGTGAGTCTTTAGCTTATTAAGCTAGCTGTCCTCGTCGCTAAATCGCTGTCTTTATCATTACAAATATCGATAGCTTTTCGCTAACTTGAAAAAGCTAGCGATCCTCGTGGCCAAATCGCTGTCTTTATCGTAACGGTTATAGCTAGCTATTCGCTAACCGATTTCCCACCAGGCCAGTTCATGTAAAAGTAATAGTAATTTTGTATATAACTTTTTTTTTTTGTTATTTTAGTTTTAATATTTATAATAATGTGCAATTAAGCATAGAGACAAAAATATTGATATATATTATAAAAATATCTTTAAATTAAACAAAGTTGATACATATAACATATCAGATATGACTCATACCATTTATAAAGATAAAAAACACTGTACTCAAATGCAAAAAAACAAATAATTGTAACATAATAATAAAAGAAACAAAATAAATACATATTACAACCTTTCTTCTAAAATTTTATTAAATAAAATTACCTCACAACTCGCAACTAGCTAAAAAGAATAACATCATGTTTTTCAAAATTAATTAATAAAGAAAATGACCATACTTTATCAGGTTCGCTATCATACTTAACAAGGTATGTGGTTCATTTAGCGTTTAATTGATCAAATTGTACCACTTGTGCACATTCCCAAGGTACCTTAAGAGAATCATCTTCTTTAATATGTTGTCTTGAAAAACTTACAAAATCAGATAGATTGTTAAAAAATTTTGATAAGGAATGTTTTTGTTGTTGCTCTATTAATTTTTTTAGTTTTGGATCCTGAATTTTTTCCATTAATATCTTTTTTTATCTTTGCTTTACAAAAAAGTTTTTTGTCACATTCGACACCTGACACCTGGGATAAAAATTTAGTTGAGAAAGGAGCACTTTTATCTTTAATGGCTCTTCAATATTGCAAATCTTCAAAATCTGTTAGATGTGAAAAATAATCCATTTTTAAATCTATCATATATTCCATTTTTGAATCCATCATAAACTCCGTTTTCCTTTTTAAAATTTTATTTACATTTTTAAGTCTTTTGTTTTCGCTTATTTGTATTGTTTCTTTAGGAATTTCAGATGCATTCACTGTATTATGAGGAAATTTGCCACAGGTTGAAAAAGGCTACACCTAACAACTATGTCTATATAGTACATAATTTTATAGGCCTGTATAAAATCTCCCCTAATGCGAAGGGTTTCTAAAAACGTTAAGTTTAGTATATTCAGACGATCTTTGTATGATATATGACGGTACGAAGGTATTAAACAAGTAGGTCTTCTTTGTACTTTCTCAATTTTGTCAATATCTATTCTTGATGATGGATTGCTGGCTGCTAACGCAAATTCCAGATGAGGTCGTACAAAGGTTGTATATATAATTTTAAGTAGTTGCGCAGTCATGTGACTGAAAGTACGATACAACATGCCTAATGCACAGGTAGCTTTATTGGTTGCAAAAGTTGAATTGTTATGTCATTTCAAGTCTGGCGTAATCATGATGCCTTTATCACGTTCAACTAAAGTCGATGCTAGTTCGACACTTTATTTTTATTGGCTGGCATTGAGTAGACATAAAAGTTGGTTTTTTTACCTATGTGCATGATTTTACATTTATCGAGATTAAGTTTCATTTTCCAGGTTTTACACCAATCGGCTATGTTGCAGATATCAGTTTGAAGCATTTGTGAAGCTAATGGGTGGTCTAAACGGGCCAGCAGTTTAGTGTCATCAGCATACATTTTACATGGATGGTTAACAATATCGGATATATTGTTCACAAAAATAATTAAAAGTATTGAACCTAATACGGATCCTTGAAGGACGCCACTAAATACCTCTAGCCACAAGGAAACATAATTGCCCATCACGATTCGTTGAAAACGCTGGTGTAAAAATGATTTTATCCAATTCAGGATATTTCCAGTAAAACCATAAGCCTCAAGTTTGTAAATTAGTCTCTTGTAGGGAACCATAACGAATGCTTTACTGAAACCTATAAAAGCTACTTCCATATATATCAGATAATACTTTTGACATCATATCAGTCGGCTTCAACAAATTAGTCACACAAGCTTTTTTATTGACAAAAAAATAAGGCTATGTTTGACTAAATGATTGACCATAGTGTCACGTAATATTATCTCCATCACTTTACATACAACTGATGTTAAGGATATAGGCCAGTAATTGCCTGGGTCGAGTCTACTTCCGTTTTTAAACAGTGGTGTTACATTAGCTTTTCTCGATACTTCAGGACAACTAGCCACTATCTAGCGACTTTTGAAAAATTGCGCTTAAAGGTATTGAGAAGCTGTCAGAAGTCAGATATAGAGAGGCTATTTTAGAAAGAGGGTGTGTGTTCCATCGCCTAGCCAACCCACTCCCAATGAAGGTGAATTTCAAGTTATGGTCGGTTTTTTTACGAATTAATTTGGCTAGTCGGGTATTTGAAAAAATTCAGGTAAATTTTAGTTTGGAGGACTTTTTTTTTCCAAACGTAACCAGTACTTATTATATTGAATTATCGCCTGCTACTTTGATTCTACACATGTGACCAACAGATCTGTTTAGTCAGGTAGGCGATAGAAATTTAACCATTCTCTTATTATATGGTTGATTTACAGACTTATGTGATACATTAGTTTAAGTCTATTTGTTTTCAAATATTGAAGTACACTAAAAGACCCAAATTTTGTTTAAAGCGTCTGTTGCTTATTGTTCTGCATGAATTAATTTTGTTCTTCGCTCGTCCTGAAACCCAAGACCTCTTTAAAAAAATTCCTAATCTTAGAAGTTTTAGCTGGGTTATGTCATACTTTCCATCCTGGTCTATTTTAAGCGAATATTTCAAATTGTAAATATCTTTCACTTGTGTCATGATCTTTAAAAAGTTATTGTTGAATTGAAACAATTGAAACAAAAACTTAAGTGTTGTAATTTTCTGCAAAGCATCTTATACCCAATTTTGCTTTGTGTACTAAAGTTATCATTCTCAATCACCAGAACTGCCTCAATCCCAGGATTTGAGTTGACTATTAAGGTGTTCAGACTAGAGCTGATTAGAGTCAGTCAGCTCTAGTCTTAGCATATTTTAGTCTTAGCATGTCAAAAATTAATTAGAAAACTATTACATTACAACCATTAACTTTATTTTAAAACTTTTTTTAATACTTAATAATGGTAGTATTTCTCTGATGCAAAATAAGTTACTAAATAGTCTTAAAACTCCAATACAATATTACACAGCTATTACAAAATTAAATTTAATAAATTTTTATTTAAATAGAAAATACAATTTGGTATTAGTATATTACATTAACAACTATTATGAAATAAATAAAATATTGTTTTCAGTGGTTTCAGTTTGTTCTATTCTTCCATTTTGACCTCAAGTTTGAGTGGAGGTTGAGGAAGACTTCGTGGAGCTTCAATAGTCAACTTACAGTCTTTAGTATAGCGAGAACTTAAATGAGTCGGATCAACATCATCTGGTAAAGATATGTTTCGAGTAAACTGCTTGTGATGGAAACTTAGACCATGCTCACCACTGTTTTCAGTTTTATTTTCACCATGAACAACTAAATCTCTACCTTTAACTTGAATTGAAATTTCCTCTGGTTTAAAACCTTGTACATCTAAACTATATCTAAAATTCTCTTTTGTTGATTCATTAGTATCTGATTTTACAGGGTGTTTTTTAGGAGCTTCTATGTGTAAAATACCATCTTGACTAATATTAGAAGTAATTGCGGTTGGATCAACATCATCGGGAATAGTGTACTTTCTGTGAAATTCACTAGATTCAAATCCATTCTCGTTTTCATTACGATGCTTTCCACATACCTCAAGAACTTGTCCTATATAATAAAAAGAACCCTATTTACACAATCCAGTAACTTTTATATTTACATAAACAGCTAGTAGATTAATAAAAATACCTTCTACTTTAAGAGAAACTTCTTCTGGCTTATAATGCTTAACATCTAGATTTACGATAAAACCACCCTTTTTGGGAGCCTTTCTCTTACGAGATGCATAGGGAGAATGGCCAACTAAATCTCTGTATAGTCGATCATGCTCTTTAATTGATTTTCGAATATGTCTATCATTAAACAGTGGAGAATATCTAAGAGGGGGAAAAGTCATTTCCAGTATATCATCTAAAAATGGATCTGTTGAGACACATTCATGGACAGGTACATGCCATAAAGACATTTTTTCTAAAATAAAAATAACGAAATAAAAACAGAAAAACATCTACAATTTTAAAGCACAATTGATACTATGAATAATAAGCACTTGCATAATTTTCATACAATAGCACAGTAAGTTGCAAAAGTATATCAAAATATCACAGGAAAAAAAAATTATCTACGAAACAAGTAAAATAGTGCTATAATCGTAAAATTAAGCATAACTAAACGCAAAAATGAAAAGATTAAACGTTTATAGAACACAAAACTTGATAAATAAAATTAAAAATTAATGTTGATAATACATTAGAGGGAAGAAAATAATATCAGAAAACAACAAAACTTTAAACGACTCTTACCGAGTTTAATCTTTCTACGAGCTTTTTTTTAAAATACTTAAGACGTCACTTCAAAATTTAAACCGAATGATACAGAAGTTCAAATTTATAACTTTGCCGTCAAAAAATTTTAATTTTAAGAAACTTCTAGAAAGGTTCATAGTATTTTGGAAATATTCTAGAAATTGTTCTCTCCCTCGTCGAGCTTCCTAAATAATTGATACTACACATTTTTTAATATATTTAAAATTCATAAGTGCGAGTTTTTGGCGCACAAATTTATCTTCAAAACATATTAACTACTAAGGAAAACCGAGAAAATTTTTTTTTGCTTTTTCTCTTTTTGCTCATGCTTTTTTACGAAATGCCTCGCGTTTACTTCAAGTCGTTGTTTTTGCAGCAACGTGCTAATTATCACAAATCAAAACATTGTAACCCGTAGATGTAACGCGTATTAGTCATAAATTGTAATAATAATAAAGTGCTAACTAATTTTTAATTTATTTATGTAATATTTCAGTCTGATTAGCTCAGATCATGTTTAGACGTTCAATAAAATACTCATTGTCATAAGATTTACTGGACGATATTTAATAGAAAGGAACTTACTAACAATTTGACATCATAAACTTTTATCGCCGTCGAATTCACAAGTTTTTTTATGTTTATCAGAAAGAAAGCAACTGCAATATCCTATACTATGTGTTATAATACAGTTTTAAAATGTTGATCTTAAATGATCTTAAATTTTTATCATTAAATAAAATTTGTCTTTATCTCAGTCAGAGATTTTTGTAGTTGATTCCTTTTTGTTGAACGTCGTCCAACCATGAACGCATGGCTAGCGTACCCAATACACCCCAAATTATAGAAATATCTGATTGAAAAAGTTTGGGACCCTAATGACAAGTTTCAAGGAGGAAGAATCCTACCTACTAGAACTAATAGACAAATTACTCTAGAGAGTTTGTGATTTTTGGCACGTTATATTCGTGATATAGTCGAACAATACCCGTGATAATTAGCACGTTACTATAATTTTTTCGTTAAACAAATTTAAGAAGATTTTGAAATAACGGCTAATAATGACGACATTTCAAAAAAATATATAAATCTAAACATCATTAGAAAACGTAAACAATTCAGACATGTACTTTAAAATCTTTCGCTTGAGTTTTGATCTAAATCTTTTTGAGTTTTTATTAACAATAATAATAATAATAATAATAATAATAATAATAATAATAATAATAATAATAATAATAATAATAATAATAATAATAATATTAATAATAGTAATAATAATAGCAATAATAACAATAATAATAATAATAATATAGTAATTATATTATTGTTATTATTATTATTATTATTATTACTATTATTATTGTTGTTGTTGTTTTGTTGTTACAATCATTAAAGATAAAGATTTTTTTGTAATATTTGTTTTAAATGCTAAAATTGTTTTATGTACATTATAATTATGTTGACATTTTATTTTACTAACAGTTCATTATATTAAAGTAGTTGTGCAATATATTGATAAGAAAAAAACGCAATAAAATAGTAAAAAAAAACTTTGTAATCTAAATTACGATGTTATTAGCTTCTATGGCTAATAATGATATTTGTTTTGACAGTTTTTGTTTTTAGAAAGAAAAATGTCTTTGTGGCATGTGCCTGTTCATGAATATGTTCCAATTGATCCATTTTTGGAGGAGGTGATGGACATAACTTTTCCGCCTTTGAGATACTTTCCTTTGTTTAATGAAAATTCTACTGCTAGAGGGGTAGGTCAAGGGTATGATCGGTTATACAAAGACTTAGTTGGGCATCCCCCATATGGATTTCATTCAAAACAAAAGGCTACTAAAAAAGACAGTTTTGTTATCAATCTTGATGTCAAGCATTATAAACCAGAAGAAGTTGCTTTAAAAGTAGAAGGTACTGTTATACTACTTGTATCAAAGGTTTAGGAGGAAAATAGGGTTTAAAACAATTTATTATAAGTTAGTTTAAATCCTATTTTCCTTCACATATTTTAGTATAAAAGTTTTATACATTAAAATATCTGTTTTAATAGAAGTTATATAAAAAATTTGATTAAATTATTTACTGTAATTTATTTTAATTTCAATTTTTTTTTTTTAAACAATCTAATAAATTTTAATAGTTTCTGAGTAATTTTGAATTGCTATTCCTTATACCATGTAATATAGTATTCAAAATGGCTAGGTTTTTCTATTAGGACAAGTTCTTGAAATAATTGGTAAACACCGTAATGAAGGCGAAAATGGATTTGAATGTAGTGAGTTTCACAGAAAATACACTATTCCAGATGACGTAGATCCTACGACTCTTTCTTCAAACATTAGTCAAGATGGTATTTTGCATATTGAAGCTCCTAAAAAGCTTCCTATAGCATCTGATTCTGCAGAATCAAGTGAGTCTTTTAAATGTACTTTAGATGTACAAGGTTTTAAGCCAGATGAAATTTCAATTCAAGTTAAAGGTAGAGGTTTAGTTGTACATGGTGAAACAAAAACTGAAAACAGTGGTGAGCATGGTTTAAGTTTCCACCACAAGCAATTTACTCGAAACATATCTTTACCAGATGATGTTGATCCAACTCACTTAAGTTCTCGCTATACTAAAGACTGTAAGTTAACTATTGAAGCTCCACGAAGTCTTCCTCAGGCTCCCCTCAAACTTGAAATCAAAATGGAAGAATAGATCTGAACTAAAGGTTGAATTATACTTTTAACTGTTAAATTTTTGAGTTAAACTGCAAAATTAGAAAAATAATAAAATTTAAAAAATATGTAATGTAATATAAAAATGATTAAAAGTTATGTTTATAAAATTTATGTACTATTTGATATGCTTATGATAAAGCGTTTGATCGATGTGTTATACTTTTTTTATATACACTGTGCTGGAGCTTTGACTTGTTAAGCTGTTATTTTTTATTATTGTTCTCTTTTGATTATGCAATATTTATTTAACTCATGTTGTTGCGTTTAAAGATATTAAAAATTGTTGCAAAAAAAGTGTTTTTCCTTTTCTTTTTTTAACTTTTTATTGCAATTATATAGTTACAAAAAAAATATATATATATATTTTTTGCAAATAGTATTATCTGTCATTTTTTGGTCTATTTGAATTAAACTCTATTTTGATATGGGCAGATTTAGAACATCTAGTAAGATGATTTAGGTTTTTTTTTGATTTGGTGGATCAAGAACATCTAGTAAGGAGGGTGGTGCAATTTTTAGGTTTTACAATCTTATTAAAATTTTATCATTTTTAAACAGTCTACTTACTATACCTAATTTACCTCCATCTTTTTCAAGCAACATGCTTGTTGAGAATATAGATACATTTGCTTTTAATCAACATGCATGTTAAATGTATGTATATTTTTATACACATAAATATAGTACTACTTTTTATTTTAGCACCTTAAGTGGCATGATTTCATGTTATAACTACAAAATTTCTTTAAAATGCAAATCTAAAAATAATAGTGAGCCTATGTTAGTAGGCAGCTTAATCACTTTTGGCTTTATCGATCCTTAATCATTGTGAGGCAACTTATGTAAAAAAAGAAAACTAATATATAACCCCTTCCTTCCCTTTCCCCTCTCCCCATTCTAAGCTTAGAGGTAAATTTTTGATAGTAATTTTTCAATTGTTAGAATCACAACTAAAATGCTCAGACTTGATTTGCAAAATCGATCAAGATTAAGCAATTTTTGGCGTTAATCTATTTTGCTAAAATATAGCCATCATCAGTTGTTCCAAATCTCAAAAACAACGACAAAAAAATATATTAAAAATACTGTGGAGTGTCCTCTTTGATGATATTAAAGTTATCCATCGTGTATTTATTTTCATGGCGATACTTAGACACAAGTTTGTTGCGCTTATTTGGTAAAGACAACGGGGATGAAATTATATGATATTTTTCCATCAAGCATAAATTGCATGATTTACCATCAGGTTTAAACAGTTCAGCCTCCTCTAAATTTTTCCACAAAAAGACAGGATTTAAACCTTTCTTTTTAACACTCCAGACAAATTTAGAAAGTTCGGTAGAGTTTGACCCACTTTCATAACGAAAGGAATTTTTATGCTTGAAAAAGCAATCTTTAAAAGTTTTTTTTGTATTTTTTGATCGATGTGTTATACTTTTTTTATATACCAATATAATAGCTACCTTCATCTTGGGGGTTTGTCTTAAAATTACATAAAGAGATGACATTTTTAATTAAACATTTTCCGTTAAGTGGACATAAATTAATCTGTCGGCGATTGCACGTCAGAGCATTAAGGTTTGAAGAATTTGATAAAATTTTATTGTTATGTGAAGTGATGATGTTGCGTATAATTGGAAGACAGCTATAGCTAACCTTCAGATTGTTTCGGTTAAACAGTTTATGAAATTTATGAGATTTTGGGAAGTTTTTATCAATTAAGTTTAGGAAAGGTTTGGCTACGTTTGTCTTGACATTAATTGAAAACGGAGGTTTAAACCAAATATTTCGTGCACGTGATTTTGCAACTTTTACAGTGCCGTTGGCAACGGCAGTAATGTTTCCTTGGCAACGCCAGTAATGTTTTCTTTAAATCCACTAGACTTAAGGGCACTATTGTAAAAAGTAGCGGCTCAATTAAAAACTTCATTACTTGAAGATATACTTCTTATACGGTTAGATATCATTGAGGGAATAGCTTTAAGAATGTTTGGAAGATGGTTCGAATTAAAATTGATATATAATGGGATGTCACCTGCTTTCCTATATGGCTAATAAGAATTGTCCCATGTAATGCGCTTTCCCAAGCAGCAGTGAACGCTCCATTTATCAATGTTTTCAAAGACAGCATAATAAAGTAACCTTTAGAGAAACCTTACCAATCTGATGGACTCCTTTGAAAATTAATAGTAAATGTACAGATAAAGAAAAAAAAAGCATTAAAAAAAAGCAGCTTTATTCATTAGCATCAAGTAAAATTTACCGCATTACAGTTGTTTAACAAAATCCTGCTATTTCTTTTCAATAAGCACGCTAAATTGAGGAATTGTCTTAGAGAACGTAAGGCACATATCGTCTTTGATGTCTAGCCGGTTACAATTTTTAGTTTTTATTGATACTTGCTGAGAACACTAACTTACAACTAATAACCTCTTAAATAACGTAGCTATATATTATTTGTACTGTAATTGGAGTTTCTAGAGTTCTTGGTATTTAAGTTGTAGAACTATTTCTTTACTTTAGGAACTTTGGAAAAAGACAAGTGTCAATCATATTTTAATTAGAATAGTTTTTAGTCCAACATATCATAATAATTGTAACTTAAAAATATTGTAGCGTTATATTAATTTTTTATATTTTTTCAAGTTTAAAAACTTTTTACAATATATATCTTTAATTCTATCTTCGCCATTTATATTGTTTTATTTTCATAAACAGGTATTGTGTATTTTACATTTTGATTAAAAGAAATATATTTTATTCAAATTTCCAAATGTATTAGATTCTTTTTTTTTAGTTTGTCCTAGAAGTTCTGCTCTTCTTCGTTATTTATGTTTAATTTGTCGAGTATCGAAGTACGGTTTAAATCTAGTAAATTTTCACGATTTGAAATTTACTTTATTGATCATTAGCTGACATAATGAAATTAAATTAAACACATGGTAAGAATATCTTTGTTTTCTGGTAACACCTTTAAACAGTTTTTTGTGTTATTATAACTTTGTCATTCCAATGGGCACCGTACCTAAAAAAGACGTCTTTTGAACGTTCAAAAAACGTCCAAAACGTTCAAAAGACGTTCTAAAGACGTCCAAAACATGTATAAGACGTTTGAAAGACGCCTTTTTTTACGTCTGTGCCCACTGGGATCGCAACAATATATTGTATAATAACAATTCATAATATATTAAAAAAAAACTATATAGTTTTTTTTTATACTTATGGTAAAAATATGATTGTAATAATTTTTTGTTTGATGATTTAAATAAAAATGTTTTGAATGCAGTACATGCAAGTATGTTTTGTAATTTATTGAGTAACATTGATACAATTTCTTTAGATTACTTGCTAAGTTACTAAGCATTTACTAGATAGCACAATCATTAAAGACCAGTTTTATAAGTTGCTAAAGGGTGAAGTTGCAGGATTAAGATTTCCCATTAAGGTTTACATTGCGAGTTAAAAAGTTTAGAAAGTTTTGTAACCACAAGTAGCCACTTTGACGGTAGTGAATATGCACTAACAGTACCGCAATACGGTAATGCCAGTACATATTCTGGTTTTGATTATGCAGTAAACTTTGATATTTCCATAAGGAATAGGTAATTTCAATACTATCATTAATAAATAAATTAGGTAATTTCAATACTATAATTTTTATATAATAAATTGCTGGGCGATTTATTATGTAGATTGTTATTTAGTAGATTTTTATTAAAAAATTGCATGTAATTCGATGCGACTTTTAATTACTTTTTAATTACTCGCATAATCTAAAATAGGTTCTTTTCTATTGAAAAACTGCGACAAATAAAATTATTCTTTTCCTTTTGAGCCACGGAATCGTCTGCTAACCACAAGCAATTTAAAATAAATTTAAAATTTAAAAAAAAAAGTGTTTTTAAAATATCGAGAAAGTTCTAAAACAACCGCGGAATGTGTTGTTACCGCATTTTTAAAAGCTATAAAGTTTGACGCAATTTAACGCGGAGTGTGAGTTTAAAAAAAAAAACCTATAGTGGACATCTAAGTGTATCGGTAAGCACAATTTTACCTTTGATAACTATTATTTTCATTCTTTGTTTGTTATTATTTTTAATTTATTTGTCTGTGCTATTTGCAATAAACTATGGTAAATGGTAATTAATTGTAAAATTGTAGAAAATTGTTTATTATAGAAGTTTTATTGAAGTTTTAACACAATATAAATAATAAAGTTATTACTTTATAAGCGAAATGTTTGCAAAAAATTAAACATTTTTCGGTATTACAGACGTAGGGCAATTTTAAAACTTTTTTTTATCGCAGTAGTCGCGAATTTTTTGTATAGTCGGGATTTTTGCTACAAAGACCCAGCTAAAAAGAATAAGATATTTTTTATCAAAATCAATAAAATAAATGACCATAGTTCATCAAGGTCGTTATCGTAGTGGAAGTTGGGGCACAGTGGATCGGATTTATTTTTTAGATTGAGCAGAGGTTAAAATATGTATTTTATTTTTTTCAAGGCAAAATAATTGAGATATATGTCCTTCATGATAAGAAATTACCGAAACCAAAATATTTATTATCTAACGCCTCACAGAAAAGTTTATAATGAGTTATGTTAGGTGATTCACTGTGCCCAAGTCCTGGGGCACAGTGAATAAACGAACACAGCCGTAAATTAATAATAGTGAATAGGGGTATAGTCAAATAACTTTGAGGCTGAAGGAGTAAGGACACTTTACACTATACCTTTGGCATTTGAAATAATAGACATTTTAAAAATCGAGAATAAAAAAAAAACTTTATTGATAAAAAAACTAATAAAAATATTTTAAAAAACTAAAAACTTATTCAAATATTATTATTTATAACTTGAAACTAATAAAATCATTTTTATGTAGTTTGTTAAAAATGCATGAATTTAACCTTTAAAATTATTAATGGGCTATAGTGAATCAACCTATTCACTGTACCCCGATTCATTGTGCCCCACCATAACAAATAAAGTTCAAGTCAAATTTCTTGGGACATAAGTGTTGTTAAAGGAAAAGTTAAACTACAAAAAGGAAGCATAAATATCAATAATCCAAATGAGAAACTTCAACTTTTGAAATTATTTCTACCATGATCTCCATAGTAAACATAAGGAAGGTAAGAAAACTTACTTTAGCTAGCTAAAAACAAAAACTACCTACAAAAACCGGTAGTCAAAAATTATGTGGTAACAAGTATGAACAAAGATTGCTGATATATGAGTATATATAATGATTATATTATTAAGATAAATAAAATTCTAATCTTTGAAAAAATGATTTTATTCACTTTGCCTCTCGATCCACTGTACCCCATATTCCCCTACTTACATGGTATGTGGTTCGTTTCCTATTTATTTGACCAATTTGTGCCACTAATGTACGTACCCAAGATTTTTTTAAATAATTTTTTTTAAATTGTATTCTTTTATTAGCATTTTGTTTTCACTGATTAAGATTGCTTCTCTTGGTATTTTAGAACGATTTAATGTATTATCTGAAAAATTTGCCATGGAATAAAGGTGTCACCTAATAGCTCAAATTTCTATTTTGGGGTTGTTTTTTTAATTATTTGATTTTATTAATCTAGTTACCTTTATGGCTGATTTTTCTCAGCAGAAAAATAAATTTCATACAAAACATAGTATATATTGCATTGTAGGAGGAGATGTCTTTTAACGTTAAATACCTATTATAAATTTTGTTTATAATGCATTTTATCTCAATAATTATACAATTTTACAGAAATCAAGTCAAAAAATATGTATCTATTTAAATTAATTTGATACCCTACATCAATTAAAACCGGCACTTATTTACTTTTCAAACCCCCATCTCTTATATCTTTATTTATGATTATGATAGAGAGATTTATGCTGATAAAAATTCACCTAAAAATAAAGACCTGAAAATCAAAGGTAACCTCTATAACTTGATGTTCAAGTGTTAAAAAAATACACTCAAAAACGCTAATATCTTTTTTTGAATTTTAGAAGTTCTCAAGATTTCTTTTAATTTACCTGCAGCCGTATTCTCATCTCTCCGTTAAGTTTACGCTACCTGCAGCCGTATTCTCATCTCTCCGTTAAGTTTACGCTACCTGCAGCCATATTCTCATCTCTCCGTTAAGTTTACGCTACCTGCAGCCGTATTCTCATCTCTCCGTTAAGTTTACGCTACCTGCAGCCGTATTCTCATCTCTCCGTTAAGTTTAACGGAACTTTAGTCTGAAATTTCATAACAATATATCTAAGTAAAGAAATGACAAAAACCTTATTTAAATTTTTAAAAATAAAACTAATACTAAAATAAAACATTTATTTTTAAAAATTTATATTTTTAAAGAACTTTTTTATTAATGTAGTTAAAAAGAAATTTTTTACTGACGCTCCGTTAAGCTTAACGGAGAGATGAAAATACGTCCCCTGGTTCTTTCTTGAGTATAAAATTTCATTTCAAAAGTAATGAAAATTTTATTTCAAAAGTAATGTTATAACAATAAAAATCGGAAGACCCAATTAGTGTTCTGACATGCCGTCAAAATAATGTAAATTTAATTTTCGCTCTTTCAAAAATTTTTGTCTTTGGCTTGAGCTCAAAATGTCAATTTTGTTACGTAGACCCCTTGACTTTGGGGGTTTAAAATGAATTTGTACGTGTTTTACATAACTAAAGAAAATCAGAATTATTTTTCACCAACCAGTTTACAGGAACGGTTTAGATTTATAATACAATTTGGTCTTTTGTAAAGTCTTTGTAATAATCGTAATTAATGGAAACAAGTTTTACAGTCTAAATCATGTATGTCAAACTATGTATGAAATAGACGTTTTTATTTTAGGACATAAAATGTCGTTTTGCCGCCCACTGTTAAGACAATTTTCAAAGTTAGACAAATGTTTTATAAAGGTTTGTAACTTCTTTTTATACAAAATTCAATCTTGTTTATTATATCAAAATTCAAATTTGTATATCGAGTTTATTAAGAAAAATAATTTTTATGCTTTTTTTTTAAATTTAATAAAATCTTTTTACAAAATCTCTTATTTTTAGGCAAATGTAAATATTTAAATAGAGTTAAGTATAAAAAGTAAATGTCAATAAAAAGAAAATTTTATATAATGAATCTGTAATGGGTACCAGCAATCTTTGGTATTAAGTAGCTTCAAGCGGGAGTAGATAATGTACAAGAAAATAGGAGCAAAGAGCAAAAAAATTAAAAAAGTCTAAAATTAACTAGTAGCGACATAGGCGCCTGCAGGAATTTTAGATGTTTCAGATATCAGGTTTCAGAGATAGGTCTCCTCATTTGGTATGGGCGTTCACTAAAGTTTGGAGTTTGCCCAGTTACCTAAAAAATACCAGGCGGGCGCCCAATGATCTTATTTAAAAATAAGTTCGAAAAATTAGCGTAAATAAACCGCCATTTTTTGTAGAATTACAAAGCATTCGAGCAAAAATTTATTTTTCTGCATTAAGTTAAAGTTTTCAAGCTAAAAAGATAAAGGTTCTTTTTTTTAAACTTAAAAACAAAAATGTCTGAAAAATGTTTTTGTGTCTATCAAACCAAAAGAACCTGCAACATTTTAAAAATTATTTTTGTATAAATGTTTTATTTACACAAGTAAATCCATATATATGACTTTTATGCAACCTATTACATTTTATGTACACCGATTTTTACAGGACCCAAATATGTCTAAAAAATTATAATAATTAGAAAACAAATTTTTTACGTTTTATACATATGAAAATACGCGGGAAAATATTTTGTTCCAACACTCGTTTAAAAAATTCATTAATTATAAATCACTCTAGTCTTTGTTTCATAACGAATTATATGCAAAAAAAGAAGACTTGCAGCTTTCAAATTTTTCTACCTTGTAGTTTTATGGTCAAATAAAGGTACACCCGCTTAAGGCATATAGTTTTTCTTAAAAAAAAAAATTTAAAATCATTGGCAAGCCCGCCCAGAGCTTTTGTGATGCCCAGTTCCAAAAGTTAATGGATGCCCTATCCTTACTTCTGGTCTTAATATGATAAATAGAAAATATATTAGGAGGGCTTGTGATGTATAAAAACTGCGCGACGCATACGCACGACGTGATTTTTGACGTCATTAAATTCTTTTTATTTGCTTTTCATATTTATCGACATTAAAGGCCGTTTTCCACAAGACGAAATATTCGCGCGAAGCGAATTTTTTCGTCGATAAGCATGCGCAGATAAAACATTTCTCGCAATAATTGGCAATAATTGCTAGAAATGTTTTATCTGCGCATGCTTATCGACGAAAAAATTCGCTTCGCGCGAATATTTCGTCTTGTGGAAAACGGCCTTAACTGCACCAATTTACTTAATTACCGCAAAACTCTTTAAATTATTAATGTAGAAATGTTATTAATTAAAAATGTTTTTGAATGTTTCGTTTTTTAAAATGTAAAAACATTTGTTTATTTTCTCGACGTTTGACACGTTTTGTCTATATTAAACGAATAAAAAACATTATAAACTAAACATTTAAAAAAGATTATAAAATATGCTAATATTTGATTTTTTTTTATCAAATATGTAATTTAAAGTTTTTCAAATAATTATTTTTTCTATTTAAAAAGTCAGCAAGTAATAAACTGGAAATTTTAATATTGTACGATTAAAAAATGTGCAATACCTAATATTTTTACTCGCAATTTTATATAATATTTTTATTTTTATTTATTTTCATAAAGCGGTTGATAAGCACAATCACTCGTATTGCTAAAAAACTTTAACGAACGTTTTGAATAGATTTTTAATGTTTACACGGAATTTTATTTTTGGTAAAATAAAATAAAAGAAAATGTTAGAATAAAAATCTTATAGGTATAAAAGACATATTTCAGCGAAAAAATTATTCTTAAAAATTATTATAAAAAATTATTCGAAAAACTATTGACGTTCCATTTTTCAGCAGCTGTTCTTGAGCACGCTTCGTTGAGTTTCGGTAACTTCTAACAAAAAAGCGATTGTTATTATTTAAGTAATCAAGTAGAATACGTTTTAATATTAATCCTTTTATTTTTTTTTTTTATTTGCGCTTATCAATTTTTAAAATATTTCCTCGAAATGACTCTTAAATACTTTAAATATGTCTAACAGTTAATAAATATTTTTAAATCTAATCTAATTTTAAAACCTAACAAACCCCCGTAAAATAATTGTTTAAGTTAAAAATCTAAAACTAAAAGAAAGTATTTTTGTTCAATTTTATCTATTGCTGAATAATTTTATTAAAATGTTAGCTTAAAAAGATTTAAACATTTTTTTTATCTGAATTTTTTCTACTTGTAAATAATAAGCATATTTAATTTTTCTTTAATTCAAACTTTTATATCAACATTTTTTTAAAATACTTTTTTAAATGTTAAAATAATCGTAAATTACTTCATTAAAATTCCGCTCAAATTTAAATATACTCAAACATTTAAAAATTTAAATATACTAAAACAAAATTTAATTATTATTAATTTAATATTAAAATTAAATTTTAATATTAAATTAATAATAACAAAAATTTAAATATACTCAAACAAAAATTTTTTGCTCAACGCAAATAGCCCTAGCTACACGCAAAATCGCTCTTGCACGACGCTTCATCGCAAGGCCTGTATTAGTATAGTTTTTTTTTTTTTTTACATTCATAGAAGACCTAAAATCACAATTAAATAACTTTGGTTTGTAAAATGTTAAAATAATCGTAAATTACTTCATTAAAATTCCGCTCAAAAATATCTTTAAATATACTCAAACAAAAATTTTTTTGCTCGGCGCAAATAGCCCTAGCTACACGCAAAATCCCCATCGCCCGACGCTTTATCGCAAGGCCTTAATTTTTTTTTTTACATTCATAGAAGACCTAAAATCACAATTAAATAACTTTGTTTTGTAAAAACAAACTATGGTAAAATCAAGTTTTAATAGACGAACACATCTTCCGGGTCTTCTTAGCCGCAAAAATTTGAAATAACTTCTTTATAAGAAACATTATAAGCTAAATCTGATTCAAATGAAACGATCATCAAGTAGCTCAATTGCCCATGGCCCATTGTGGAACGAAGATAATCTTTGATGATAGCTAACTCGCTGAAAGATCTTTCATCTTCAGATGTTGAAACGAGCAATGTTAGAAAGGTTTTAAGAGAAACACGCACTTGTGGAAATATTGAATGCAGCCCCTTTGCATAAAAAAATTTAAAAGTTCGACAGGCTTTTTGCTTGCCAGAATATATCTTCTTACGGAAAAGAAATCCCGACCTTGATCAGAAAATTTGTTTTTGCGTAAGTCTTCTGGGTAAAGTTCAGCCAGATTCTCAGTTTTTAAACCTAGTTCTTTGTCTGTTTGAGACTTCTGTGAAGACCAAAGAAATGAAAACTTGTTACATTCATCTTCTATTACTTTAAATCTTGATCCTATATGACTAGTTAGATTGTCGAGTGCAACATTGAAGACATTACACTCAAAGTTTTTTGATGCTTCTTTGTGGTTGTAACTAGCAGTTTCATTAAGGATTTTTGCGTTCTCTTCACAGCAAACATAATGTCATTAAATTTCAAGTTTTTTGCAACTTCTGCTGCCTCTACCAAATCAGGTCTCAAGACAAACAGGTTCGATCCAGATCCATCAAAAGGCTATTTAAAATCTTTACTTCATTATTGAGAGTGAGTTGAGTGGGTTGTAACAGAAGACTCACATTCTTAACTAACATCAAACATTTATACTAAAAAGTAGTGAAATCAAAAAGTTAAAAGAATTCATCTATTTAATTAGACAATGTACTTCATTACTACTTTTGCCTGAAAGGACTAACTCTTTTAGACGATCAAGATCTCTCTTGGTTTTTTTCAAGTTTTTTTTTCTTTTTTTTATTTGCATTCACTCCCAACAAGGCTGCAAGCAACCACTATTAAGTTGGGAGTTACTAGGAAAAAAAAGAACAGAGTTATAGAGCAAGGAAACGGTTGACAGAAGACTTGAAAAGTTGAAGGTTGTATGAGTCAGGAAAACATAAAGATGGGGGAGAGTTCCAAAGGATTGAAGTGCGGGGAAAAAAACTAGATGAATAAAAGTTTTTAGAGCATGCAGGGACAGATACAGTAAACGAATGAGACTGAATAAAAAACGAGAATGAATTTTAGTTGATGGAACTAGAGATGATAACTCCTTTGAGCAGTGACCATGATAGTATTTGTAGAAAAGAGAAAGAGATGCATTTTTACGACGATGGGAAAGAGGTTCAAGCTTAGCAGATAGTCCAGGTCCATCAACATTTACAATGCGTTTTTGGACCTTGTCAAGAAGAGAAAGTGAATTGTTAGAAGAACCAGCCCAAATATATATATATATATATATATATATATATATATATATATATATATATATATTTTTTTTTTTTTTTTTTTTTTTTTTTTTTTTTTTTTCGTCAATAAACAATCATTTTACAATATTTTTTGTAAAAATTAAAAATTAAATCTTTATATTCTGTATTCCATACAGGTACGAATAAGTGATTTGTAGAGGTAGAGAACGGAATCAGAAGTAAGGAAATGGCGAGCACAATAAAGAGAAGCAACCTTAGCAGAAGCTAATTTAGCAATCGATTGTATATATGGTTTCCATGAAAGGTCAGTAGTAAGCGATAATCCAAGAAGATGTAAAGAGGACAACTCAGTAAGAGGATTGCTATTCATTAATAATGTTGACCATATTACGGTAGTTGTTTGCAGTAAGCAACTGGGTTTTTTTAGAGTTGAAATTCACAAGCCACTGTGAACCCCAATCTATTACTGAAGTGAGATCGGATTCAAGATCAGCTGCTTGTTCTAGGCAATCGAAAAAAGAAGACTTTTGTCAAGACAGGAGTATAAAGTTA